TCGTATGGGTGCTTTCGCGGTGAAAATGGTGGTCGGCCAGCCGCAAAACGAGATACCCACCCCGAACATACGGAGGATTTCGGAGCGCTTTCGAACGCCCACTAGTTATATTCACCAAGATAATCAAGAAATTGATCGATTTCGAGAGACTGCAATCATTAAGAAGCTCTGATTCAATACCGTGGAATGTGAAGAGACTTGATTTTTGTGTATGAAATGCAGCAGAACTTAAAACACCACAATTCTCCATTGATGGTATGATCTCCCGTCACTCTGCCCACCGAAGTCGATTCGAGTTGAATTTAAAAAATATTCGTCTGAACTTTTCCGTTTAGCCTGCAAAACCTATAGCGGCCTTAATTCCTACTACGCCCTTACGCACCAATCATACCTCACATAATCCGTTTTCCTGATATCTTCTGACAAACCTTCGATTAGTTGCCTTCCTACTTCCTGGATGTTGTTTGTAAGGTACCTCTAAATATATATAATCACCGGTCGCGCATGCCCGACGAGCTGCAAGAACTGTGAAACCGGTCGTGTGCTTCCGGGAAAATTTCGGTCAGTCATTCACATACTACTTATTGTGATATATACCTATATATTTATTACATTTAACATCGGTTTATAGAGAAGAATGATGCCAGCGTCACAACAATGATAAAAATAACAGGAGGCAGGCGGATTGGAATACTGTGAATACATTGCAAAATAATAATTTGACCAATCGGATGCATGTGGGACAATAGACCCAAACTTGTAATGTACACCTACCTGGTGGGAGGTTTCCGATTGGATTTAAAAGATAGTTTACTGCCCCATCTCATTGCTGTCGGTTCAAAATAAATAACCGACTATCGCTTAAGACAACATGTGAAGAAATATAAATTGGTAATTCTGATAAGTCCTGTTGTGAGCTGGTTAACACAGCAGTAACACTGACGCCTTCCATGCGGTGGGTCCATAGGTCAAAGCCCGGATGGGACGGTGAAGATGCACTACTGATGAAATGTAAGGAGAGCGAAACTCGAATCTACTGCTTCCCTAGGCTACGGATGACTGGATGAACTGAGGATTTTGTGTGAAGCCAGGGTATGAATAACGGTTAGTTCAAATCAATAACATTTATCTCACATCACTAATCATAAGTGATTTCAAGAGAAATGCGAGTTACGTAGTAAATGAAGGAAAATGAATTTGTCTATTTATGAGTTCAAGTTCATTGATCGCGAAAGGCGTGCCCCTCCCTGCTTATAGGTTTATGATCGTGAAGCTCCGAACTGTCAGCTCGTAATATTATTCTGCAAAATGAAATGAAATAATGCGTTTTGTTTCGAAGTTCAGACAAGTGTGTCCTTTCCATTGTTCGATGCATGCAGGTTGCCTCTTTCTGCCGAGTTCATGTAATTCTGGTGTACAATTAGAACTTAGGTATCACGAAAATCATACAGCAAAACCTCGAAGTATTTTGAATTTTAATGCTAAAGATGAGTAGTTATATCGATCGGTTTAAACGTACAGTTGGTTATCGGTAATCGGAAACACAAGACTACGTACAGCTGATGCTACGGCTCTCATAAACTTGCTTACAACCAGTCATACTACGTAGCTATGATCAATCAATTATCGTGCTTCTCGTTCATTCAAAGGATAAATTAGTTGATCATTTAGATTCAGTGCACGTATAGGGTTAGGGGGTCATCCGTTGCGGTTTCAACGAACTGCAATTTACTGAAAGACATTGTCAGTGGTCAACTGTACCTAGAAATAATGGTGAGATACATGTTACCTCTGTTGAACACAACTACCAAGGCTATATTCCAGTATGACAGTGTGTCCACATATTGTTCCCCTGTCTTACACGAGTTTCAGGTGCATCATAATATAAAGACATTCATTTGGAAGCCTCGATCATTCGATCAAAATCCAAACGAACACTTTTGGGATCACCTGGGTCAAATACTATCCTATTTGAGGCTTATGCTGTTCACCTATCCGAGTTTGTGACCTTTTGGTCGTCCGCTCTTCACATAGCTAGCTTTGATAGATGAGTGTGACACATATGCCATATTCCGGCTTCTTATAGAATCAAAAGCCTTGGTGAATCTAGCAGGTTTGCAGATTGTTTATTTTTTTGTGGAAGTTGGCTTTAACCATGAGAAACAATTGATACATTTATCAGCAACGAGTACCCCAAGAGAAACTTATTTCGGCAATATTTCATCTCCACATTAAAGCAATTCTCACAACTCACCTTACTTCCTGTTTCGGTAGAATGATCAAGTATCCGATGTGGGGTTTTTATATTTCACCCAGATTCAAATGTGGATAAAGAAAGACACTGCTTTTTCCATCTAACGGAGAAACACCCCCCTCAAAAAAAAGATAACAAAGTAACCAATTTTTTTTTTATTTTCCACCCAAGTCGTTGCAATTGAGCTCATTTGATCCGGTACAAGATTTGGAACAGCCAGACTTCATGGAACATCCGGAAGATTACTTTACCGACCGGGAGGAATATATTGCGATATCAAATGAAACAGAACTTCCTACGTTACCGGAGAGTAAGATGAATGAATAGGAAAAACACGTTTGTTATTTTGATTTGATATTAGGAATAAAATGTATCTGCGGACTGTCCGGTTTGTAGCCTCCGTCTATGCATAGTTAATGCATGGTCACTAATCTGAAAATTGTCGAAACAATTGGAACATCACAGAGTAAAAAGAGCCGCTTTCCGAGAGTTGTATGTAGCAGGAAATGTCTGTTTACAAGCATACGAACAAATTATAAGTCACAGTCAAACAACAGAAGTGTTGTCTTGCGTTTGATTAGTCTCCAGCTATTTTCTTTATCCTTTGTAGAAGTCTGATAGGCAAAACGGTGGCGCTGGGGCAAATTTTAACGAAATCGATGTTTCGTGATCCTATCGTTTCCTGTTTGAAAAGTATCATAATGCTAGGGGAATCCGGGTACATTTCACAGTACAGAGCTGCGCCTACCCGAAGTCGCACTGATGTGGTTGCTCAGTCTACAGGTAACACTGCTAGGTCGGAAATGATATCCTGTCCATAATGCGAACTATTGTTCACTGATCTTGGTCTTAGCTGTGGTCAATCGTTGTAACTTCCTGTCGCGAGGGTGCTTCAAACATGAAGATCCCAGGTTCAAGTCCTGCTACAGTCACAGATTCAGTGTGTTCTAGCCCAGTTCCACCTGTATCCCATTAGGGCCCTAATGTAGTCCCCTACTCAAACTCCCAAGGTTTGTGTTGGTGATACCTGTCACTGAACTGTAGTTCCTCGTAACTGAAATATTCATCGCACTTTGACAAGCAACAGAAACATCTTTGTCTCTGTGTTAAAACCAATTTGTATTGGGATGGTTTCGTCAGGTTTAGGTTCCACTTAAACATCCCATGTAGGAAAGAAATAGCAACCAACACAATTCTGGTGGCATGCAGCAGTTGCACGAAAATACCAATTTCTCACATTAGGTCATTTGAGTATCTGGATAGGTGATTTTCGCAATTGCACAGGCTTCCTTTTGTAGAAAAAGGCAGCGAAACCTACATTCGATATATTTGATTTGCGTAACCTAGTTTGGTTTGCTTGTTAGCCACGTTTGCTGTGAAAACCCTCACCAAAAACCTGAGCCGGGTTTAAGTCGAGCAAAGCCTACGTGATCGTAGGAACCCATCTTTTGTACTAGAAGGCATCATGATTTGACCGAAAAATGTGAGTATCTTCCTCTGACTAGCTAATTCGCTATTATTTTATTTAAATCCGTAAGTCTCCTTATCAGTAGGCTAAATTGTTTCAAGATTGATTTGAAAAACTAACGCATTGAATTGAGGAAAGAATACTGCGGTTGGACCCATCTCCGTTCAGCGCACCTCATTTGTCAGTTGATCATACGTTTTCCTACCTCCTGATTAACCGTTCTGCCCTCCCAAACTATCTCTCCGTTGAATTGAAGCAGATCTCACTTTAATATGTTATCAAGCCGTCTGCTAGACGTCGATTTGGTTGGTCAGTGTCGGCGTGAGATCTTCACAAGACAGCTAGGCTGGACCTAACTCAATAAGCATAAAGGGTGGCGGACGCACTGTTCCCCGCGGCTGTTTGTAGTTCGCTTCGTCAGCAATGCCAGGTCTGTTCAAGCCTCCTAGAATGCAGCGCAGATTTTTCAACCTTCCATTGATGGGCGGGGGGGGGGGTAACCGTTGTGAGGCGTACTTCTGTCACACGCCGTTTACCCTTAGTAATACTCGCACACCTCTATGGATAATGTACGATCAACGTAGTTCCTGGGAGTTTGACCATAGCTCCATCTGCAAAACTTATCAAAGTAACTACGACCACGCTGAAGGTAACACGGGCACCAGTGTACAAAGGGAATTGTACAGTTATTTTGACTGTTTATCTCGCTTTGCCGTTGCCAGTGCAGATGGGTGTGTAATTCTGTCATCGATACCGTCACAGCAGTTTCTGAGTCGCTGCGATGTTTTTGTACCCCTCAAACATGTGATTCGTCTGACAACAGGTACTGGGAATTACACAGGTTGAACTCAATGTCAAAGACAGGAAGATCGCTGGACAGAAGTGTATCTTTCTCAATTCAAAAAGAGAACTTCTCAAGTTACTCTTGAAACTGTTTAGTTTTCCGATAGATAACACGACATTCCAAATCTAGCTGTGATATGAATACAATCAAAACTCCGTCCAGTTGCAGTTCTTGACCGACCATTCCGTTTCACTTTTCTCGATCTCTTTTGCCAGGTTCGGACTCCAACACGCATGGGCAACACAATGCATTTAAAGATAAAGGTAGGTAGCAGTGCGTCAAAATTGAAACCCAGTCTTATATTAATTTCGCATATCGGCAGAGAAGGCTGGGAAGAGGTCTAATATTTTTGCGGAAGAAAAATCAAAATTCAAGTACAAGTTCTTGTGTTAATTCCACATCACCTAGGCCATTGGATAGCACGTGTCGCTATCTTGTTCGAATTTTAAATGTGTCCGTCTTGTCCTCCTGATTAAAAGAAAGATACGTCGACTGAGGTTCGAACTCGTGACGTTTTTTTATTCACAATTCGATTATTGAAAGCACCCTGCTCACAGCGCTACGGACATCATACAAACAAATGAAGGTATTTGTCAATTTACAGTTTGCTTTTCGAATTTACGGCAAGACCCGTTTCAGTGGATTTTAGAATGCGTTTCATCCGAAACATCTTTTTCACAACACGGAGACTCACATAACATTTTTCACTCCCTCAATCCTAAGTAAAGGGTAATGGTAGGAAACAGTTTTAGCTATTACCATTTCAGTGGGTTCTAGTCAAATCGAGACTTTCAGGCTGTATTTCTTACAGATTCATTTCGTCTAGAATCATTGCCTCCGATCTCTCCCGTTAACCAATGAAACTTTAATTCGGTGAACGCGTTTTTTCCAACAACCTAAAACATAAAAATATCTATATGTTGCTAAAGAATCAAGCACTAGGATCATTGGAGCAGTAACGGCGTGAATTGCGTTTTCACTTTACGTATTACAAAAGGTGATTAGATGTGAATCTGGGACTGTTCCATCTCACTTTGTGATCGATAATCAAACGGACGAGTCCGTTGCTTGAAAGTTTCGTTGTTTTGCTGCATAAGACAGGCCCCACGTAGTACACGGATGTCTCAATATGCTACTGGCGTATCATGGATTGCAAAAACTGAGACGCTGGCACGCATTTTTATTAAATGCGATTTGACTGGTCGTAAATTGTATGATTTGCGATCATGAATATCTACTTCTGCTGAAGTATCATGCTTTGGGCCACTGTCTGTCCAAGCTACTGGTCACCATAGAGTACGAAATATGTAATCGATTTTACCACACGCAGAAAAATGACACCAGCTATAATTTCACAATATTTATCTGGGATGAGGGAGTATGTAAGCACGATACTTGTTCTTCTGCTTAATTTGTGGTTGTTTCTCGTATGTTCTCACCAAATTGAAGCATTCTGATGAGTGGAATTCTATAGCTTGCAGTTTGCTTCGTATTGCCCGAGTTTTGTGTGACATAAACATAAAGTTCGAACATTTTTCACACAGCTGAAAACGTTTGCTATATTTGAGAAATTGTTTTTCCTCGCAAAACAGAACATATACTGCCAAATTTGTCTCCTGACCACGCAGTATTAGAACCGAAGCACAAATTTGACGAAGAGTCCCTATTCCCCGGTTATTTGTTACAATTCGATGAACAAATGAAACGGGTGAATCAGTTTATACGGCAAAGAACACCGGTAAGTGAGGCCTAAACATTCGCTCTACAACATTTCAGTCTTATACGTGAACAAAAAGAGACCGGACTGATATATCACACAAATGAGAAATCGTATGCAGTGTGGGGGAAGCAAACTGTTTATCAACTATTGGATTTATCCAAACACGAAAACTCGTAAATGGATATCCATCAGTGTTCATGTAATGTCATTCATTAGTTTGCATGAGGGTATACCAACACAACTAGTTAGGTCTTCTTCCGGTTAGCTTTTGTGTTTCATCTGTCCTATCGGCAGAGGTACCAGGAAATACTTCTCAATAGATCATGAGGTTATCAAACCCCTCGTCTAAATATTTTCCATCCCACAATATTTATCTTCTTCGGTTCTAACCAATCGGATAAAGGAGACCCAGTGTTTCAAGTTTTTAAAGATTTTCTGGCATTATAGGTTGAGTCCAAATAGAATCTCCTTGCTCAGGGTGGCATAAAAGTTTGCTGCCTTGATTGCAGAATTTGTTTTTAATCACCA